GAACTCACGACCTTGCGCTTGCCAGGCAGGCGCTTTTGCCGCTGAGCTAAATCCCCAGCCCCCTATTATAATAAAAGTTATGTGAGTTTCTTTCTCTCTCTCTCTCTGTCTCAATATCTACTTAATATTGCTGGGCTGCAGTTGACCTCAAGTAACTGAAATTGCAGAAAACAAAATCGTGAACAGGAAGGAGTTGTAAATGCCCAGTACAAGGCCTCAGAAACTGTAAATATTAGTCATTATTTTTGCCAGGATTGTTTTCATAATCATTAGGTACACATTGTTTAGCAACTTTCCCATTTATTTCCTTTTAAGCATATCATATTTCAGAGAATTTGTAACCAAGCCAAGTTCTCAAGCAAGAAAGTACCAAAAAGATGTGGTATTGTTATACAATGGAGTACTACTCAGCCATAAAGGAGGATAAACTGGAGACTTTTATAGGTAAATGAATGCAACTTGAGAGCATACTCATAAGTGGAATCAATCAGACTCACATGTGTAAACATTGTATCGTCTCCCTGGTGTGAGAAACTAAAAAAGTAAATAAGTTCTAAAATGTACAATAGATATTGTGGGAAGAAATTGTTCAAAAGGAAAAAGGAATTAGGATGAATGAAATGGGAAAGGACAGTAGGAAAGGGGAAAAATGCAAGTCAGTTACACTATTAGTGTCTCTTGGTTCATTGAAAAGATTTGTGTTAATCTCGATTGGAGAAATTTTTATCTTTGTATCTTATACCCTGAGCAACTACTTTAAAGATAACATGTAATGTATTAACTATGATTATTCTCTTACTATTTCGTTATGAAATTTTGTATTACCTCTTTTCCATAAGAAAGAAGTGCCTTGCTGAAGCAGGTACTATTATTTTCTTGGGAACTTTTGAACATGAATAAATAAGGGGTGAAAACACTTCTGGCTTACACGTAACAAAATACATCTATAGTGCTATGAGTATTTGGTATTCTTGATGGTGCTGATTCAGTTAATTTAAGTGCTAATAAACCCCAGGTCACAGGGTCAGTCCTGCTGTTCATTTCACATCGTAGTCTTACTCCACATTTCTTATGCCAGTAACTGCTGGGGCAGGCAGGAGCACATGGCTGGACCAGCACAAGCTGTTTATTTGACAAAAGTTTCTAGTGCTTTACTGACGGAGGTACTGTTATCGTCTCAGGAAACTGTTGAACTTTTTAGAATAAATAAGCACTGAAAATACTTCTGGTTTATGTGTCATGAACTACATTACATTGTACCTCTAGAGTTTCAGGAGCAGGAGGCAAGATAAGAATTTGGGAGCACAAGTCTGTCTTTGACCCTGTCCTGACAGCAGAGGGTTTACGGCAGTCTCCTGGGAAGCTGGGAAGCTAGAGCAGAGCTGTTGATAGGCTGCTGAAACACAGATCAGTTCAGATCCTGTTCATGAACGGAGCTGTATTTATTTATTTATTTATTCATTTATTTATTTTTGACTTTTAAAATTTGAAGAGAAAAAATAAAATTTCAATACAAGCTAATAAGAGGGTAACAATGGTTAATATATTGCATATTGTTATCTTTAAATTAGTTACTCAGAGTACAGGATATCAGCATTTAGTTGTCCAAATAATGTTAGCACAAATGTTTCTTTTCAATGAACTAAGAGAAATTAGTAGTACATAACTATCTTAACTATCTTTCATACACATATTATTGTTTCCTTTTTCCTTTTTCCCTTCCTTCTTTTCTTCATTCCCTCATCCCAGGGTCTCCTTCCTTTTGAAGTTCCTTCCCATTTCACAATATCAATTGCACACTGTGGATCTTATTTACTCTTTCAGCTTCTCACATTAGGGAGACAATATGATGTTTACACATGTGAGTCTGATTTATTTCACTCATGAGTAGGGTCTCAAGCTGCATCTATTTACCTATAAAAGTCTCCAGTTTATCCTTTTTTATGGCTGAGTAGTACTGCATTGTATAGAAAGGCTACATATTTTTTATCCATTCCTCGGCTGATGGGCATTTGGGTTGTTTCCAAGATCTAGCTATGACAAATTGTGCTGCTGTAAACATGGGTGCACATATATCACTGTGGTACAGTGTTTTTAACTCTTTTGGGAATGTATGCAGAAGGGGAATATCTGGGTACCCTAGTTTTTTGAGAAATCTCCACACTGATTTCCACAGTGCTTGTACCAGTCTACACTCCCACCGGCAGTGGGGAAGGGTTCCTTTTTCTCCACAGCCCTTTCAGCATTTGTTATTGATTGATTTCTTGATGATAGCCATTCTTTCTGGGGTGAGATGGAATCTGATTTGTTTTAATTTGCATGTCTGAAATGACCAGTGACGTTGAACATTTTTTCAGCTATTTGCTATTTGTATTTCTTCATCTGAGAAGTATGTGTTCATCTGAGATGCCCATTTGTGGATTGGGTCTTTAAATTTGTGGTGTCTGATATTTGTCATTTCTTTATATGTTCTAGGTATTAGTACTTTGTCTGAGGGAAAATTGGCAAAATTTTTTTCCCACTCTGTGGGTTGTCATTTCATTCTGTTGGTGATTTCTTTTGCAAAAATCAATAGCATTTCTATACACAAACAACACACTCACTGAGAGAGAAATTAGGGAAGCCACACCTTTCAGAGTAGCATCAAAAATTGAAATACTTGGGAATGAATACATCTGGAGCTGCTTTTAAAAATAAGTGAAAAAGACTGGGAAGGAAAGCAGGGAAGTGAGGAGAACACAGGGAGAACGCTGCAGGAGGCGTCTCATGAACATGCACTTGGGGGAGCTTGTCAGCGTGAGGGGCGTGGGTGCCTGTGGAGCGGTAGCAGTGAAGTCTTACCCAGAGCAGAAAAGCTGAAGGATGAGACTCCTAACAGGCCTGTTCACCATTGTGTACACAGAATGATTTCTTGTAACTCAAGTTTTCTTTAGTTTCATTATCAACCCAGTGTTCCCAGGTAGAAAGAGAATGTGCAGGACAGCACTGGATTGGCCAGAGTTGGTGGAGGTATGTGCGTCACGCCGTGAGAAGTCTTGGCTTGTAGCTGTGGGCTGGCTCGAGCCTCGGCTCTCCCACGGCAAACCTGAGAAAGGTCCTCAAACTCTGTGAGCCTCTTTCCTCATTTGTAAGATGCAAAAAGAACAGTCATTTCCTGGCAGGGTCCTTTGGGGGTGAAGTAAAATCATGTGTGTGGAGTCCATCATGTTAAGACACATGCTGCTCTGAAAGGGATAGCAGATTGCAAGGGTAGAAAGATGACCTTATGTTCAAAGGCAAAATCCAAGTGAGGTGTTTCCTAATTTCATCCCCAGCCCGACTTCTCTGTATACAAGCCCTGTGTACATTCAGGGCTGAGCCATTTCCTTGCTTTCTCAGGAACCCACTTCTAATAAAAGAGAGATCCCAGAAGGTATCAGGTCTGCGTCCTCACTCTTCATTTCCATCCTTACGCTGATAATCACTTCCTTTCCTCTGACATCTTTCTTCAAGTCCAAATGAATGTTTCACAGATTTTTCATAAGAAAACCTACACTGCACCACTGTGGGAACGCTACTGCTTGACAACAGCAGGTGGTGCTGAGAATCCAGTAATGCACTGGCGCGTTTTCAGGGTAAATTTTTCCTTTCATGGCCGTGCTTGTGTTCTCTCACAAAATCTTATGTTAATCTCCTATAGTAAGACATGGAGGGTATCTACAGGTCCTAGTGAGTGCACACAGTGATAAGATTCAAGATGTGATTATTTAGCAATGTGCGATTTAAATTCCAAGTGCAGCAAATCAGTAGCTGTTGGATTCCAAAGAGATTAATCCATTTAAGTGGTTCCCAGTCTGTTTCACAAAATGGTATTCTTTATTTTCATTTTTCAAAAATAAATGTGTTGTGTGTTTGAGGTTTACAGGATGATGTAATGTAGAACATATAGATAGTAAAATGCTTGCTATAGTATAGAAAATTAATGCATAGCTCACGTAATTACTTTTGTTTGGTGGCAGGAGTGACTAAAATCTTATTATTTGTGATGCCTCATACAGTACAGTTTTGCAAACCATACTCCTCTTTTTGTACATTAGAATTGACACTTTGTATCTTCTGAGCAGTATCTCCCCATTTCTTTACTCTCCTTTGGGTGTTGGTAACCACTGTTTTATTGTCTGTATACTTGACCTTTCTTCCTCCTAGACTCCACAGAGAAGTAAGATCATGGGGTGTGTGTGTGTGTGTGTGTGTGTGTGTGTCTAGTGTATTTCACTTAGCATAATTTCCCCCAGGTACATTCCTGTTGTGGCAAATGGCAGGCTTTCATTGGATAAATGTCCCACATTAAGAAACCCCTGTGACAGACACTGGGCTGTCTCTTGGGTGTTGTGAATGGTGCGGCAGTGCTCTGGGAGAGCATATCTCTTCACGTGAGGGGGATTTCCTCTCCTGTGTGTGGATGCACGGCAGAGGGCCTGCTGGGTAATATGTTAGTTCTGCTTTTAATTTCTTTAGGAAACTCCATACTGGTTTCCCGAATGGCTGCGCCAAGCTACATCCTCACCAACAGTATTCATGGGCTCCTCTTTCTTCACACCCTGACCAATACCTGTTATTTCTTGTCTTTTTGGTAATAACTGCCTTAAAGACAGTGAGATCATGTCATATAATGGTTTTAATTTGCATTTCCTGCCTGGTTAGTGATACGGAGAGAGTATTATTCTTTAGATATAGGTAGATTTTTAAGAAAAAGTTGTTTAATACGTTTAAACCTGTTTAAGAGTTTTCCAACCTCAGACGTTATCCTCCACTTTCCTCAGTATAGCTTAAAATCTATAAGGACACTTTTACTTTATGATGTACTTTTGGAGGTGTTTCTTGGGGATAACGGCCCAGATTCTGTCTTTCTTTTAATCCTGTGAGGGTTTATTTCTCAGTGATATCTCAGAGTGCCTCCTTGGTGTTGGTGGAACGGTTCTAGTGGTGTTTCTCCCCCCAGGTGTTACATCACGCTGGCTCAAGCCCTGGGGATGAGCATGGGGGGTGCCCCTGCCGGACCTGCAGGAACCGGCAAGACGGAGACCACCAAAGACATGGGGCGATGCCTCGGGAAGTATGTGGTGGTTTTCAATTGTTCAGACCAGATGGATTTCCGAGGACTTGGACGGATCTTTAAAGGTAAGGGTGATACTTTGTATGTGATGACAAATTTACACCAAAGTGGAGTATTCTGCTTCTTTTTCAGGGTTGGCGGTGTATTTCAGTGGCAGAGTGTGTGCTTAGCCTGTGTGAGGTGTGACAGTTGGCCACATTTTAATGTCATTTCTCAAGCTTATAAAACTTATTAGAAAATTTTGACTCTTACAGTGTTATGTGGACCAAACATTAGCATCACTTTTCTTTTGTAATGTTTTTCTTTTATGTTACAGAAAAAAAAGTAAGAAAAAAACATTAAAAATGTCCGTTTCCTTGTTCACGTCGGTTTGGTGTTCACATTTAATTGTGAGCTGTTTGGGCTCACTTGATGCATGACCTGTTTGTTCAGTTTTGTTTTTTAATAAACTTATCTCTGACTCATTCTGGCAGCTGATAATGTCCTTTTCCTTGGCTTTTCAAAATTATACACTAATGGATTTTCTGTTTAATTTCCTTCCTAAGGATTGGCACAGTCTGGATCCTGGGGTTGTTTTGATGAATTTAACCGAATTGATCTACCAGTTCTGTCAGTTGCAGCTCAGCAAATTTCCATTATTCTCACATGTAAAAAGGAGCACAAGAAATCTTTTATATTTACTGACGGAGATAATGTGACTATGAACCCTGAATTTGGACTTTTTCTAACCATGGTAAGGAACCACTAGAAGAGCTACTGAAATTCAGCCTTCTTAGCACAATTTCGTGCCTCTCCATGATGTTGTGTCACCTATTTTTCACAAATGAAAGTTGGATTGTCATTTTCACTACTGAGTGAAAAGCTCTGCTTTAAAGGAACCTCATATTAACTGGTGACTGGGTCTGTCCAGGTAGGGGAGAGAGATATGTAGATGAGCTCGCTGGCTGTCATTCCAGATTTGTTATGTGTATGTAATGAATCCTTTACTATCATGCTGATGTGCTGTTGCCCTAAGAACACAACTTTCATCACTGGGCTTTACTTTCTGCTTAGAATCCTGGCTATGCCGGGCGGCAGGAACTCCCTGAGAACTTGAAGATTAACTTTCGTTCTGTGGCCATGATGGTCCCCGACCGGCAGATTATTATAAGGGTGAAGCTGGCCAGTTGTGGCTTCATTGACAACGTTGTGCTGGCCAGGAAGTTCTTCACGCTATACAAGCTGTGTGAGGAGCAGCTTTCCAAGCAGGTGTGTCCTTCTGAAAGTCTCTGGGGACCTCACGCATATTTTGTTCTTCCGTTGGGTGAAATGTTCTTGTTTTGAAAACTTGTAGACTGGAGTTGTTGACAAAGTACCTGTTGTTATCGCATATAAGAGGCAAAATTAATTTTATCTGAGTAGTTTTATGAAGAAGTACATTTAAAAATTAATATTTATAGCATAGGACAAAGCAGCTATGCAAACTAAGAGCCAAATGGTTATGATGGCTGTTGATGTTTGCTATGTACACCATCTATACATTTTTCAGAATGTGTGTTATGTGTTGTCCTGGGGTTCAGGACCTCGGAATTATTAGCTCCTCTCATTTCTGAGCTCACTCAAGTATTTGACCAAACTTTGCTAGTTGTCTTTCTTCTCTGTTTTGGCCCTCTTGTAGGTTTCCTCTACTGTTTGGGTTAGCAGGTTCAAGCATCATGAAGTTTACTAGTAAAGAGGCATGAAATTAATCAAATCACTTCTGCTGCTGTGTCTTTGGGTCAGAAGTCAGAGTACTTGGGTCCTATGCTGGGTCTAAGAAGGCTGAAACCAGGTTTTGACCCAGGGCTGAAGTGTCTTCTGATGTTTAATGGGGAACAAACTACTTCCTAGCTCACTCAGGTTGGAAGCAGAATCTTGTTCCTTGAGGTTGTAAATTAGGATTCTGTTTCTCACTAGTTGTGGTTTTAGGGTCACCATAAGCTCCTGTATCTTGTGTGTAGCTATTTGTTACATGAGGTTCCCCAGCATGGCCACTGGCTTTTGCAAAGTCAGTAAGGGAAGAAATTCCAGCAAGAGGAGTGCTTCAGGTTTGTGTACTATGTTATGTATATGCAATCATATACAACCTATCACCTCTGCTGTATTCTGTTAGCTAGAAGCAAATGGTAGGTCCTGCACACACTCAAGGAGATACGATCATACAAAGGCATCATGGAGGTAGGCATTCAAACACAATATTCTATCATATATAAACAAAAACTACTAAAAACAACTAAATAATGACACATGGAACTAAACATAAGAATGTAAGATGAACAATACCCCCTAACATACATAACTTCACTCCATCTCCTCTTTTAGGCTTTCATTCCAAACTTTTTTGAATTCATATTATTTTTATACTGACAGTTTCAATCAAATTACATTCCCATTCGGAAGTCTTTTCTCTGTGAATGTTCAGCCACACACAGAGCAACAGAAAAAGGCTCTGGTAACTAAGCTTTCTGGTTTGACTCTGCACTTTGATGCCAACAATCGTGGTTTCTTCTGCTTAGCACAGATTTTTGTCATTCGTTCTCATCTTCCTCTCCGTCTGAGAACTATTTTCCCATTCTGTTTCTTGCAAGTAGAAAATATCCCACCTCAGCCATTCTTGCTTTGTCTCCACTTCACTCCCTGAGCCATGCGCACAGAGTCACTATGAAGTGACACAAGTGTGTGTGTACCAGGCACTTGACCCCCTGAGGATTTCTTAGAGAACAATCTTGGAATCTCCTTTCGTGCCCATATATTTAACTGAGTTCTATTCTGACAAGTTTTCCTTGATTAATTTACCCATCAGCACTTTAAGTTATTGTTGCTTTTATGCAAATTTATTTACTTTTTTATCTGTTGTCTCTATTAAAATTTAAATTGCGTGAAGGCAAGAACTCAATTTGAATGTTTTTAAATGCTCTGTCTTCTGTATGACCCCGACTGAATGAAGCACACTGCTCCCAGTGAGCTTGGATGTTAATTTATTTCTGTTATTTATTTTGATAATTTATTTTTGCCGTAGATATTTTTATTGCGGTAAAAATCTATAACATTAATTTGCCATCTTAGTTGTTGTTAGGAGTATAGTTCAAGAGTGTTTGGTATATTCACAATACTGTGAAACAGAGCTCCAGAATTTTTCATCTTGAAAGACTGAAATTCTATATCCACTACATAACAACACCCTCCCCTACCCCTTGAAAACCCATCCACTTTCTGTTTCTGTGAATTCGACCAGATACCTTATATAAACAAAATCTTTTTGTGACTGATAATTTTACTTAGCATAAAATAATCTCAGAGTTCACCTGTGATGTGTCTTGGAGTTCCTTCTATTTTCAGCTAGATAACATTCCACGAGAAATACTTCAAAAAATCAATAATTGGGATCTCATCCTACTGAAAAGTTTCTGCACATCTAAAGAAATCACCAGCAGAGTAAAAAGAAAACCCATAAATTGGGAAAAAATTTTAGCTGACTGTCCCTCAGACAAAGATCTTCTATCTAGAACATACAAAAAATTAAAAAACATCTGCCCCGCTCAAACCAAAAATGGGCATCGGAGATGAATACACACTTCTCAGATAAAGAAATACAAATGGCAAATGAATACATGAGAAAATGTTCCACATCATTAGTCATTCAAGAAATGCCAATTAAAAGAACACTGAGGTTTTATCTCACCCCAGTAAGAATGGCTAGCATTAAGAAATCAACCAATATCAAATGCTGGCGAGGCTGTGGAGAAATAGGAACCCTTTTCCACTGCTGGTGGGAACACAGACTGGTGAAACCACTGTGGAAATCAGTTTGGAGATTCCTCAGCAAATTAGGTCTAGAGGTCCCATTCAATCTAGCTATTCCCCTTCTGGGTATTTTTCCAGAAGATCTGAAAACATCATATCACGGTGATACATGAGCATGCATGTTCATAGCAGCGCAATTCATAATTGCAAAATTGTGGAAGTAGCCCAAATGTCCATCCACTGAGGATTGGATAAAAAATTGTGTTACTTTTATACAATGGAATATTACTCAGCTATAAAGAAAGATAAACTCATGGCTTTTATAGGTAAATGGTCACAACTAGAGACCATACTCATAAGTGAAATAAATTAGACCTGCGTGTGTAAGAATCATATTGTCTCACTAATGTAAGACCTGAAAGAGTGAATAAAAGCTAGGAAGTATGATAGATATTGTGAAATGAAAGGAAAATGCTCAAAAGTAAAGGTCAACTGGGGTGTGGGAAAAGAGAAGGGAAAGAAGGGGAAATTATGTAAGTATGTATACACAGGATAGCTAACATAGTTGTACTTCTGTCTTCTATTCCTTTACAGAAAGGAACAGTTAATGATTACTTATTTGATCAATCTTGTCTGTTTTCCTGAGAAACCACTTTGAAGATATCAATATGTAATACAACCACTGTTAATTTCCTACCACTTTGTCTGTAACTCTGTAGTGCTTGTATTATTCTTATGCTATTTTGTAAATGGATGTCTGTTAATATGTTTTCCTTCTATTTTTAAAATAAATTGAAAAAAACCAAAAAAAAAAAAAAACCACAAAAAACATTCCATTTTATGTATATTTGTACAAATTCCATTGCCAGTATGTAAATGTAGATAAGCATGTTTTGGTTATCCACTGATCTGCTGATAGGCATTTGGTTGCTTCACTCTTTTGGATCTTATGAATAATGCTGCTATGACCATGTGCACACAGATCTCTCCTTGAGACCATGCTTCACAAGTGGAATTGCTGGATCATAGACTAGGTCCGTCTTTAATGTTTGAAAGAACTCCCATACTTTTTCCACAGTGGTTGGGTATTTGGATTTTAATTATTTACTTTGTATATGTGGAAATTTGGCACGATTGAGCTTTTATAAGTATATATAGATGGCAAAGCTGGGGACTTTTCTTTCTGCTTTATCCTTATTGTTCCTCCTCCTAGTAATCCTGGAATACAGCTGCTTTTCCTCTTTTTCAGTATTCCCATCTTACTTACTGGTGAAACATTATGTGTGTACGTATACATGTGCATGTATATGTTTTTTTATAAGATAGTCATGATGTTTTCCAGTGTAATTCTGGTACTGAAGTTCAGCTTTGGAGTTATGAGTAAATTTTTGTATGTATGATTGATTAAGAAGAAGTACAAGGGGATAGAAGACATATCTATCTTTTCTTTTCCTATGTAGGTATATATTAGTTCTGAACTATGACTTAAGTTAATGATGGTACATGGAAGAGTCTTTTGGATATTATATATTTGATCAGAAAGTATTTGAATAAAAAAATTTATTGTTAAATCGTATGAGTTTTTAAAAAGGAAAATAAGCGTTTATTCATTATTGGGAATATGTCTTTTGTCAATTCACTTGGTCCTATGGGTAATTTGACATTAAAAATGAACCCAGTGTCTCCTAAATTTTTCAGGTCCATTATGACTTTGGTCTACGGAACATTCTCTCAGTTCTGCGGACACTGGGGGCGGCAAAAAGAGCTAACCCCACAGACACTGAACCCACGATTGTCATGCGAGTGCTACGAGACATGAATCTCTCCAAACTGGTGAGATTCACGGGTGGAAATGTTTCACCTGCCTAAATATCATTATTAATTAAGTACAAATGAGGTTTTAAAGTATTTATTTAGAATGCTCATTTGAATGCCTTATTATCAGATAAAGTTTTAAATTGCATATTTTTTAGAAATCCTTGTTATAATGACTCCTATCTAACCTAAGACACGTCTATGCCAATAGGATTGAAATAGATTTTTAAAGAAATCCATGCATTAAGGTTCTAAACCCCTTAAATAATTTTTGTGTTATAGAGTGAAACAATTTAAGATATGTATAGTAGGAAATTGTATAGCTTTTAGTTTATGTGTAATAATTTCCTACACTTATGGTAAACGCTGGTAATCCATGTCTATTTTCAGTTGATCTATGTACAGGATGACAAAATGGTATTTTTTAAAATTCCAAAATAAAAATATTAGCTAAATTCCAACTCATGAATTTCCTACTATCTCTCCTTTAAAAAATGTTTTTTTTTTTTTTAGTTTAAGTTTTGGATTGTAGATCAAAAAGCATCCCTGAAACTAATTTCTTTGTGGAGAGGTTTTCATATAGTATTTTTTCCTTCTTTTCTTTTTTTTGCTTTTTTTTCTGTTCTTTCTCTTCTCATCTTTTTTTTTAATTGTGAGAAAGATGAGGAAAATATTACTTAAATGTGATAAATATGATATTTTATTAAGTAAGAGTTGCAGTAAAATAACCTGGATGGACTTTCAGTTTATCTTCATATTTTTGTATTCGTGATAAAACAGTCTGATTTCCTTTTTTAGATTGATGAGGATGAACCTTTATTTTTGAGTTTGATTGAAGATCTCTTCCCAAATATTCTTTTGGACAAAGCAGGTTACCCTGAACTGGAAATGGCAATTAGCAAACAGGTAATTAGTACATGAGGCATTCAGTGCTGCTTTGTCTGAGTTTAGTATAAACAAGTGCAGCGGGCGTGGCCCTATCTGTGGCCTGTCAGAACAATACTGAGACCACGCCCACTGATGGAGCATCTCCAGCCAGGGCTTCTCCTACATCCATCGAGTCAAGTTCCAGGGGCCTCATTATTGGTGGAAACCATTCCACATCAGGGTCAGAAATGAAATGTAATTGGTCAGCAGAGGCCACAGAGGCTCAGATGGCTGCCTTGATTGAACTTGGCTTGTTTCTGTCTTTGACCATGGCCTTTGCCAAACTGCTCTGGTCTCTAGACTCCTACCTTTCAGTGTTATTTGTTGTGATCTCATGAGGCCTGAGCTATCATTGTGTTACCTCTGGGGCACTTGTGGTGTCTTCTGTAATACTCTGTGGGTGAAGAGACATCACATGACACATGGGACACTAACTTGTTATGGTTTTCCTATGAATGGAAGTGAAGCACATAGGGGCTGGAGATTTAGCTCAGTGGCACAGTGCCTGCCTGGCAAATGCAAGGTCATGAGTTCGATTTCTGGTACTGGAAAAAAACCAAAAAAAAAAAAAAAAGGAAATGAAGCACATAAATTTTGTGCTTGACTTTGCTTTCCCATGAAGAGTTAGGAAAAAAAAGTATTATTTTATAGCAGTAGTCATTAGCCCATATTTGTAAGGTGCATTTTAGTTCCTTGAAAATACTTGCAATGCCAATCAAATGTGGTAGTATTTCGCGTATGTTTTGCTTGAAAAAATTGGTGCATCACTGTCCTAATTTCCTGATCAGGAAAGGGTAATAATTTATTCTGCAAATGGTTTCCTTATTATTTGGCTAAATAAATTGTAGTGCTACCCAGAAAGCTAAGTACTAAGTAATTTATAAGGTGACTTGCTTAGTTATTTGTAGTTCACAAAAATTCTGTAGAGCAAATACATAGCCTAAGTGATGCATGATTATCTTCAAAATTGTTTAAAATTAAAATCCTCATTTGTAGTGAGTTCCAGTGTAGCATAGTGATTAGGTGTAATGACCTTGGAGCTGAACATTTTGGCACAAATCCTAGTTTAATAGCTACAAGTTGAACATCTTGGACAAATTTCTTAGTTATTTTATGCCCAGTTTCCCTATCCATACAATTAAGATATTAATATTAGTAATCTCATCCTTTATCTTGAAGACTAATCTCGAATAGTGTGTGGCATAGATTAGCTCCCATAGTCTTTGTGTTTGGTAGCTAGAAATCATGCAGACGTAGTCTCTATAGACACTGTATAGACAGCTTGAAATTTATATGGAATTTCAATCCACTTGGAACACCAGGACTTTTGAAGTTATAGATATAATCTTTTAAATTAAACATTCAAAATATATTTTCCATTTGAGTGTATATTCTTAGGTTACTCCTTAGATGCTCATTCAATAAAATGTTAATGTGAATGTGTCCAATCCCAGAGAGACAGGCAGATGTTTCTCATTAGCTTGGGATGATATTTTGATTACACTCATATTGTTTTGCACAGTATATACTTTCACGGGGTGAAATACATACTATCAAATTTATTATTTTAAACACTTTGCAGTATATGGTCTAGCTTACCCAGTAAACCTTAACTCTCCATTTCTTCTCCTCCCGCCCCATGTCTATGTATTTTAAGCACACTGTTAGGTCTAAATCACCATGAATCTTGTCCAGTGTGGGGTCTGGTTATGTTTCAGGTTGAAGCAGCTGGCTTAGTCAACCACCCTCCTTGGAAGCTGAAGGTCATCCAGCTGTTTGAGACGCAGAGGGTGAGGCATGGAATGATGGCCCTGGGACCCAGTGGAGCGGGGAAGACCACCTGCATCCACACCTTGATGAAGGCCATGTCAGGTATGGCAGCCGAGTTCACTGCACTGGGAAACCATTTAAATAGTTGTACTGCAATTGAATGCCCAAGGGCACATGAAGGCAGATACGCAAATATATTTTTGTAGACCAGAATGCTGCTTTACTGATTATTGGTTGCACTTAACAGATAACACATTATGTTAATGAAACGAGGGAAAAACATTTTAAGTGACTTTTGCATTGTGCTGAAAATCCAGATTTTTCCCGGTGTGCCACGCCTCTTCCCGTTAAATACATTGTGCTCCCTGCCAATGAATGAAGTGCAGCTCCATCCCAACTCTTGGATTATGTGTGTTGAAAATCGTCCTAATCATAAATTAACTTCCCACTTTGGCATCAGATATGTTTCTGGTGAAGTTGATATTTTCAGATGCCTCTAAGCGTTACTTCTTATTTTCTTACCTTAGCTTATCTGAGGGTAATTGTGTTGCCATGTTCATGATAATTCTTACGATCTCTGGTTCTCACTGCATATTGATGACTCTAAGATAGAGCCCCTTATGTGTGGCAGAGCTGAGTTCCAGAATGTCACAGGAATGGAAGTGATGTGGGAATGTAGCATGCTGCCGGGGGCTCCAGTTGGCTCCTGGAGCCCCAGGTCACTGTTGCAATACTGCTAAGAGATTGATGGAGATTGCCAGTATTTACTCTAGTGCATGCTGGATTTAGTCTCAGCCATGTCAGTTGCTAGATGAAGTGAACTTTGCGCATTTCGGCTCTGGGAGAATATGCTCAGAAGGGGACAGACTAAATACTCTTAGCTAGCACCTATCAGCACCACAGCTGAGAATTCCCATCTGCAGAGTTTACCGTGTGATCTTTAAGGTGTGCCATTAAGCTTCTGTTTTGGGATTATTGTACATTTTAAAATGATTGTGTTTGCTCCCTCAAATTATGTTTCATATTTTTGTTACAGTTATGAAACTACCTTATTTTAGCAATAAACTACAAATGTACCTGGTGCAATGACTTTAGCAAAATGAAGTAGTAAATATTGAACAGAACAGACACATTATGTTATAATATGCCTAAATTATGCAATTCACATGGCATTGCTAAGTTTGGAGAGGTTCCCTGTGAAGGTGAATTAATCATCACAGTATTTGC